ATAATAATTTTAACTAAATTAGTAGATTAAGCCTTAACAACTACAAATTCCCCTTCTGTCACTGAATATCATTCATCAAAAACAGCATATAGGAATCTATTATCATTTAAAGCTAAAATATGATCCTACTATTAAGATTTCTTTGGAATTTCAGATGTAATAAAGCTAAGCACCACCAGTCTGAAGCCCTCTGAAATGTACAACCCTTTTCCCTCAAATTAATTTAAAAAATTTTTATTGATTTTTTTTACAGAGAGGAAAGGAGAGGAATAGAGAGTTAGAAACATCGATGAAAGGGAAATATCGATTAGTTGCTTTCTGCACACCCCCTACTGGGGATGTGCCCACAACCAAGATACATGCCCTTGACTGGGACCCTTGAGTCTTCAGGCCGACGCTCTATTCCCTGAGCCAAACTGATCAGGGATCCCTCAAACTGATTTTTTAAAATATATTTTATTGATTTTTTACAGAGAGGAAGGGAGAGAGATAGTTAGAAACATCGATGAGAGAGAATCATCCATCAGCTGCCTCTTGCACACCCCCTACTGGGGATGTGCCTGCAATCAAGGTACGTGTCCTTGACCAGAATCGAACCCGGGACCCTTCAGTCCGCAGGCTGACGCTCTATCCACTGAGCCAAACCGTTTTCAGCATCAAACTGATTTGATTGTATTTGTGTTTTAGACCATCAGGGTTTGTTTAAAAATTCTTCATATTTTTAGCTTTCCTAATCATCCACTATTCTTTAGACACTAGTAAAATAAATTTCCTGGTTAAGCAATAACTTTCCAACTCGATCCTTATATTATGAGTGAGACTGAACAGATCTGGAAACATAATTGGCAGGTAATGACTGAAGGAGACAATAAGCAGAGAAGAGTGCAGATTTAATCCTTAAATGCTATCTGCTCCATTCTCAGTTCACTTATCGATACTTCCTGGACAGGGCTATAATATACCACTATTCCCTCATTGATGTTTTATTATTGGGGAAGTGTCTCAACTTGTTTTGCAACACTTACTGAGCCTTTGGTTCTTAGTAATAAGGTATTTTGTAAAGAACTGCAGGAATTTTGCATGTGTGACACGTTCACATGTCAGTTCTCAAGGCAATGTCAGAGAAAGCAGAAGTTTTTTCCAATAAAATATGCAGATAATTCAATTTTCTGAACAATCCTCATAAAAACACTACAAAAAGATCAATTGAGAAAACATTTCACTACAGCAGAGGAACACATTCTTATTTTATTTTCTAATATTCATCTAATATATTCTACATGCCAGGTGTTTCATTTGGCACTTCATAGCCTTCATCTCATTTAATTTTCACAATATTCAAAGAAATAGGCATTTTCCCATTTTACTGATAAGGAAAATGAGACAGAGTAACTTGTTAAGATCACTTCAGTTACATTAACACACATGCTCTTTAAAATGTTACAAAATTTTTTGGAGAACTGAGAAAAGGGAGGCGAATTATCTGATACCCTACCATTACTATGACCATTTTTATTATGCTTCAGTATTCTTTGTACATTCAACTCTTTTCCATATTTCATGTTATTTTTTTTCTTTTTAAAAATATATTTTATTGATTTTTTTACAGAGAGGAAGAAAGAGGCATAGAGAGTTAGAAACATCGATGAGAGACAATCATCGATCAGCTGCCTCCTACACACCTCCTACTGGGGGATGTGCCTGCAACCAAGGTACATGCCCTTGACTGGAATCGAACCAGGGACCTTTCAATCCGCAGATGCTCTATCTACTGAGCCAAACCGGTTTCGACTCATGTTATTTCTTTATTACAGATTCCCAGAAGTAGATCAAGAAACATGGACAATTTTATCAAATACCATGCTTTTTCATTGTTATCACCCCCCCCCCAAAAAAAAACAAAAACAAAAAAACACCAAATGCAAGGATAAGCAACTTTCCTTCTACCACAGGGAGGGAATAATTCACCATAAAAACAAAACAAGTCACTGGAAAACAAACCTTCATGCCTAGCAGAGAGCATAGGCTTTGGAATCAGACCTGGGATGAATCCCAGCTCATTCTCTAGAGCTGTGCTTCTCTGAACAAGCCCCAAACCTTCCTTTTGTTCAGCATCAGTTCCCTCATCTTTCAAAAGGGGTTCATACTACTAATAAAATAAAATAAAAATAAATTTAAAGGGTTAATACTCTGCAGTGTTATTGTGAGGCTTATAGATAATGCATGTAAACCATAGTGGCTGACATGTAGAAAGCATTGAATAAATAATCTATACTAATAAAATGGTTATATGCTAATTAAACCTAGAGACCTTACCAACCTATATTAATCCCTTGTTTACTGATGAGAAAAATCCGACTTTAGGATTTAAAACCTAAACAAACCTGCAAGTGAAAGAATAGGTTGTGATTCTATGCACACAGTTAATGAATTAATTGGATGTTTACTGAGGACCTTTCTGAAAGACACTGCTAGGGAAAGAACCCTAATTTAAAAGTGTCTGTATTGCCGGGACCGGTTTGGCTCAATGGATAGAGCATCGGCTTGGGGACTGAAGGGTCCCGGGTTCGATTCCGGTCAAGGACATGTACCTTGGTTGCGGGCATATCCCCAGTGGGGGTTGTGCAAGAGGCAGCTGATCGATGACTCTCTCATCGATGTTTCTAACTCTCTATCTCTCTCCCTTCCTCTCTGTACAAAATCAATAAAATATATTTTTTAAAGTGTCTGTATTCAAGATGCTCACAGTCTAATGGGAAGGACTGGTATATAAACAATTATAATACAATATTCTGAATTGCTCTCAATTTGCCAAAACCGGTTTGGCTCAGTGGTAGAGTGTTGGTTTGCGGACTGAAAGGTCCCAGGTTCGATTCCGGTCAAGGGCATGTACCTTGGTTGCGGGCACATCCCCAGTAGGGGGTGTGCAAGAGGCAGCTGGTTGATGTTTCTCTCTCATCGACGTTTCTAGCTCTCTATCTCTCTCCCTTCCTCTCTGTAAAAAATCAATAAAATATATATATATTTTTTTAAAAAGATGATTTGAATTGCTCTCAATTCACGTGGAAGAACCAGGACAAACTTGGTTAAGGAGGAAAGTAATGTTTGAGCTAAGACTTGAAGAGTAGGAAACCTCAGGGCTGGGGTAAGAGAGAAGGGAGATTCTCCAGCAGAATTCTAGCAAATATAGACACAAGAGAGTCCAGAAGATCAAGGCAGGCAGTTAATTCCTTTTAAAAACAATTTATCTCCTACTAGGCCCTTCTGCTTCTAGTTCAGTGAGAGAGTAAAGAATAAATATAACTTAACTCGTTTCTATTTTCTTTTTTTAAATAACTTTTTTAAATCTCCGCTTGCATATTTAAAAAATAAGTGGCCCTTGCTGGTTTTGCTCAGTGGATGAAGCGTGTGTCTGCAGACTGAAAGGTCCTGGGTTCAATTCCAGTCAAGGGCACATGCCTGGGTTATGGACTCGATCCCCAGTGGGGGGCATGCAGAAGGCAGCCAATCAATGATTCTCTCTCATCATTTATGTTTCTATCTCTTTCCCTCTCCCTTCCTCTCTGAGATCAATAAAATATATATTTTTTAAAAAGTGGTCATTATACAAATTCAGACAATAGCAGTACATAAGATAAAAAGTTAAAGTGTTTCCCTAATGAACAATCCCAACTATCCCACAACCACTGCTAACAGATTGATGTGTATTCTTACCAAAGTTTCATTACACACACACACACACACACACACACACACTATTTTTAACATAAAAGTAATCCTAAATATAAAAGTACGTATTGCTCTCTACATCTTGTTTTACATGTAAAAATAGCTTGGATCCCTCCTAAAAAAAAAAACATCAATTTCTAGTTCCAGTGTATGAACCTGCTCACTTCACCATACATTTAAAAATTGTATATTTTTTTATTTTACTTTTTGCCAAGCTAATAAGCAACCGTTTTAAATTGCCAGCTTGCTCCCCCCTCCCCCCTTTTTTTAGGGAATAGTTCAAATGTTCAGAAACAAAAGATAGGATCTTTTTAAATTCAGCTCAAGTTGACAAACATCTGAGATGTTTAAATAGTATTTTAAAAGTGCATGCACAGATACTGTGTATTAGGGGAAGCCCAGAAATGTACAGGATATAGCATAAGACTGACCAGATATAGGATTTTAGTCCTTTTTCTGCAATTTAACTGTGTAAGCTTAGGACTCGGTTTTCCTCATCTATAAAAAATAAAACTGGAGAACATAAACTATTGCTAGTAATTGTAAAGCTCTAAGAGCATATAGCTCTAAGTCTCTAGTATTTCAACACAGTATTAAAATGCCTGTTTGGATTGCTTAATTGTGAGTAAAGAATACTGTTACCTCCTCCACTCTCTAAAACCAGTAAATCTCACAAGGAGGGATCTTAGTTTTGTTCACTTATGAATACCAAGCTCCTAGAACAGTGCCCAGCACGCTTGATATTTGTTAAATGACTGAAAATGGTTTAATAGCTTCCACTCCCCTAAATTGCTTTAAATTATTTTTTGGACAATTTGATAAACGTGGCACAGTTTCACTCTTCAGTTTAAGTCTTACATTCCTAATTTTCCCGTTCTTACATTTCTGAAGTGAAAATGCTCTTAAGCGTCTGTAAAGGAATTTGCATCTGCTGACAGCAGAAGACTCAGATATTCTACCCGCTGGACCTAAAGTCGAACTTCCACCACCACCTGGGAGGGCCCATACTCAAAAAAGTACCGAAAGTTCTGTGTACATGCACAGGCCTAGAGAAGCCAGGCTGTCACATACCCAACCCCACTCTCAGACTCAGCATTCCCAGAACACAAGGAGTTACTTTCTTCTCTCGCAAACCCCCCAACTGCCAACACGGCGGAACTGGAGGCACTTAAGGTAGAACCGGCGGGGAAAGGAGTCAGGAAGGAGAGAACAGACCCTCTCCAGCCCCGCTCATTGAGGAAAGCCCGTGTTGCTGCAAATAGCGTCCTCACCTCCTTCTTTCTTTGGGCAGAGGCTGGAGGAACCCCAAATACAAGCAGCAGCGCCACCGCAATGGTTGCAGAGACACACCAAAGCCACGATCGCGCTGCCATGTTTGCTCCTCTCCCTCCTGGAAGCGAAACTTTCCTCCGGCTGGGGCGGCTGGTTGGGCGTGAGAACAAGCTAACCAGCCCCTTGGCCCTCCTCATTGGTCTGGCTCGGCCTCAGCAGGCGACCTCTCACATTACGTCACGGCGCTCTGCTGGGAGGCGCCCGCTCACGACGGCTCACTTCTGATTGGTTCCCGTCAGCCAATAGGAAAAGGACAATCTGGAGGTTTGCCATTGGCCCGCAGGGACGCGGCCTCGCCCCTTCGTTTATGGAAGGAAGAAGCGCTTCGTGGCATTTCAAACGCGCATGCGCAGTTGTGAGGCTTTGCGGCTTTTCAGAGGCCAAGATGGCTTAAGCTTAATAAAATGGGGTTGTAGCAAAATTCGATCTAGCCATACGATGGGTAGGATTTTAGTCCCTCATTCTACCACCAAATTATTTCAAATCAAAATAATAATTTTAAAAAGAAGGAAAGTCATGTATGGGAGTGTGTGGGGGCAATGGTAAGATATGTACACATATAATACCTTAATAAAAAAAAAAAGAGAAAAAGAAGGAAAGTGCCCCAGTGTTAAGCTATAATCAAGAGGTCACAGTTCGATTCCAGGTCTGGGCACACACCCAGGTTTGGGAATCCATACCTAGTTGGGGGAGGAGGGCATTCAGGAAGCTGTGGATCAATGATTCTCGTCATTTATGTTTCTCTCTCTCCTTTCCTCTCAAAAAAAAAAAAAAAATCAGCCGGGACCGGCTTGGCTGCCGGACCGGTTTGGCTCAATGGATAGAGCATCGGCTTGGGGACTGAAGGGTCCCGGGTTCGATTCCGGTCAAGGGCATGTACCTTGGTTGCGGGCATATCCCCAGTAGGGGGTGTGCAAGAGGCAGCTGATTGATGAGTCTCTCTCATCGATGTTTCTAACTCTCTATCTCTCTCCCTTCCTCTCTGTACAAAATCAATAAAATATATGTTTTTAAAAATCAATATATATATTAAAAGCAGGAAAGCAAAATATATACTTAATATCACTGAAGGAGATTTTAAAAAAATATATTTTTATTGATTTTTTTACAGAGAGGAAGGGAGAGAGATAGCTAGAAACATCGATGAAAGGAACATCAGATCACCTGCCTCCTGCACACCCACCACTGGGGATGTGCCCGCAACCAATGTACACGCCCTTGACTGGAATCAAACCCAGGACCTTTCAGTCTGCAGGCTGACGTTCTATCCACTGAGCCAAACCAGCTTCAGCTGAGGGAGATTTTTAAAAGTTAACAAGTAAGTGCTCTTTGAATACTTTCTGTGTCCCAGGAACTTGCTGAACAGAGCAGACATCAAAGTCATTTTAAAATGTTTTTTCATTACATTTTTAAAGTTAAAGTTCTTATTGTTAGGACTGTAGGACAATTCAATCCTTAAGGACCATTTATAATCTTCCTGCCACAGGAGAACAAAAGACCAAGAAAAACTCGATGAACACCAAGAGTGAGAACATACAAGGAATAGAAATGTCCTACAGTTAACTCACAAAACTCAACAAAAGGAAGATAAACAACCCAATCAAAAAATGGGCAATGAACCTGAATAGACACTTTTCGAAAGAAGACCAAGAGACACATGAAAACATACTCAAAGTCAGTAATCATCCGAGAGATGAAAATCAAAACAACAATGAGGTACCATCTCACACCTGTCATTATGGCTATCATCAACAAATCAACAAATGACAAGTGCTGGTGAGGATGTGGAGAAAAAGGAACCCTTATTCACTGCTGGTAGGAGTGCAGACTGGTGCAGCCACTGTGGAGAACAGTATGGAGTTTCCTCAAAAAAACAAAAACGGAACTCCCATTTGACCCAGTGATCCCACTTCTAGGAATATATCCCAAGAAACTAGAAAAACCAATTAGAAAGGACATATGCACCCCTATGTTCATAGCAGCACAATTTATAATAGCTAAGTTTTAGAAACAGCCTAAGTGCCCATCAGCGGATGAGTGGATTAAAAACCTGTGGTACATCTACACAATGGAATACTACGCTATTGTAAAAAAAACTTCTTACCATTTGCAACAGCATGGATGGACCTGGAGAGCATTATGCTAAGTGAAATAAGCCAGGCAGAGAAAGATAAACATCATATGATTTCACTCATTTATGGAATATAATGAACAACATAAACTGATGAACAAAAACAGATCCAGAGACCGAGAAACATCGATCAGAACATCAAACCTAAGGGAAGGTAGGGGAGGGTGGGGGGAAGGGGGAGAAATTAACCAAAGGACTGTATGCATGCATATAAGCCTAACCAATGGACACAGACAACAGGGGAGTGAGGGCATGAGAAGGGGCTAGGGAGGTAATGGGGCAATAAGGACACATATGTAACACCGTAATCAATAAAGAAATTTTTTAAAAAAAGAAACTGTCCTGAAGGCACCTGATTGTACATCTGCATTCCATCTACATTTCAAGCCCACCAGCTCAGCCTTCAGAACCACTGAAGGCAAGTTTCCCACCAGGGACACTGTATAAGGAAGAAACTCTAGCTCCTGGGTGTTGCCATCATCTACCCAATGTCTCAATGCTGTGCAGTCCTTCTCTTTGGATATCCCATCTCCCATCCCTTTTCCTTAAATAAATTCAATATTCTTTTATCACACTTATTACTTGAGGCATCAACAGGGACTTAAATTATAGGTTATATGGAAAAAATGCCTTTTTAAATTTATTTTTTTTGCAGATGGGAGCAAAACTAAGGTTGTAAGGAAGCACTTCTGTCTTTTTAGTTATTTGTGTCATAACTTTCATCAAACATTCAATTCCCATATCTAAAACATAATAGAAACCCTACATAGCTGAAGAAGTTTCCATTTATTTGGCCCAGGTATGTTTATTATAGTAGGTTGTAAAACTGGGATGATTTTAATAGGGAATAATAATATATTCAAGAGGAAAAACACTAACAATAAAAACAATTACCTGTAATTTAGATTTATTTTGATAATATGGAACATCATCCGACTATTCTTGTAGGCTCTGCTGGGAAACTCAGGCACACAGAGGAAAATAATGTCGTTATGTTGAAGAGTCAAGAAGCTGAGTAAGGAAAAGAAAATAGCTGGTTTTGAAGTGAAGAGGTACTATGAAGCCCTAGCTGGTTTGGCTCAGTGAATAGAACATTAGCCTACAGACTTAAGGGTCCTGGGTTAGATTCTGGCCAAGGGCACATGCCCAGGTTGTGGGCTTGATCCCCAGTAGGGGGCGTGCAGGAAGCAGCCAATCAATGATTCTCTCTTATCACTGATGTTTCTATCTCTCTCCCTCTCAGAAATCAATAATAATGTATTTTCTTTAAAAAGAGATGTAGCCAAAACCGGTTTGGCTCAATGGATAGAGCGTCGGCTTGGGGACTGAAAGGTCCCGGGTTCGATTCCGGTCAAGGGCATGTACCTTGGTTGCAGGCACATCCCCAGTAGGGGGTGTGCAAGAGGCAGCTGATCGATGACTCTCTCTCATCTAACTATCTCTCTCCCTTCTTCTCTGTACAAAATCAATAAAATATATTAAAAAGAGATGTAGCTGAAACCGGTTTGGCTCAGTGGTAGAGCGTCAGTCTGTGGACTGAAAGGTCCCAGGTTCGATTCCGGTCAGGGGCATGTACGTTGTTTGCGGGCACATCCCCGGTAGGGGGTGTGCAAGAGGCAGCTGGTTGTTGTTTCTCTCTTATTGACGTTTCTATCTCTCTATCTCTCTCCCTTTCTCTCTGTAAAAAATCAGTAAAAATATATTTTTTTAAAAAGAGATGTAATCAAAAATTATTTTAAAAATTAAAAATGTTTACAGACATTCAAAATAAGAAAAATACAACGAGACATCAGTATGATTCCATTTATATGATATTCTGGAAAAGGCAAACTCATAGGAAAAGAACAGATCAGTGGTTATCAGGCTGGAGGTTGAAAGAGGGGCCACAGCCGAGACCGGTTTGGCTCAATGGATAGAGCGTCGGCTTGGGGACTGAAAGGTCCCGGGTTTGATTCCGGTCAAGGGCATGTCCCCAGTAGGGGGTGTGCAAGAGGCAGTTGGTCGATGACTCTCTCTCATCAATGTTTCTAGCTCTCTATCTCTCTCCCTTCCTCTCTGTACAAAATCAATAAAATATATATTTAAAAAAAAAAAAAAGAAAGAAAGAAAGAGGGGCCACATATATTTGTGATTTGAAACTGTTATGTTCTTAATTGTTGGAGTGGTTACACACTTCTATGCATTGTCAAAACTTGCAGAACTGTACACCAAAACAGAGCAAGTTTTACTGCATGTAAATCTGACATATAAAAAGTAAGGTAAGGGGGTGTGCAAGAGGCAGCTGATCGATGACTCTCTCTCATCGATGTTTCTAGCTTTCTATCTCTCTCCCTTCCTCTCTGTACAAAATCAATAAAATATATTAAAAAAAAAAAAAAAGTAAGGTAAGCTGACATATAAAAAGTAAGGTAAGCTGAAACCAGTTTGGCTCAGTGGACTGAAAGGTCCCAGGTTCGATTCCAGTCAAGGGCATGTACCTTGGTTGTGGGCACATCTGCTCAATGTTTTTCTCTCATCTATGTTTCTAGCTCTCTGTCTCTCTCCCTTCCTCTCTGTAAAAAATCAATTAAAAAAAATATATTTTTTTAAAAATAAGGTAAGTTTTTAAAGTATACAAAGACATTTACTATCTCATTCGGCAAAATTCAGTAGAAGCTTTTATCAAGGCTGTGGGGAAACTGGCCCCCTCATACATTGCTGGTGGGAATGAAAGTGCTACATCTATGAAAGGTAATTTGGCAATATCTAAAAAAAATGCAAATGCATTTACCTTTTTTTTTTTTTTTTTTTAAATCATAACCTGGGGATATTTTTTCATTGATTTTTAAAGACGGTGGAAGGGACAAACCAGACAGAGCATAGACCAAGAGAAATTAAGGACCCCATACTGCCTGGAATAAAGGAACTGTTCAGAGTGCGTTACAGACCATGAGAGAGCAAATAGGCATGTCTTGTCTCTGCATGGAAGAATCCAGTGGCTCAGACTGACACGTGATCAGTGCTTTA